GCGGACGGTTGTGTGTGTGCTGCCCGACTGAACGAATCCGTGAGGAGAAAGAAGGATTGTGATACCCGTCAATGTCCTTTCATAGTCTTCACTTATGCAGTGACGGAATGCAGTTCTGATGAAGGAAAGAGTGAGTTGTGTCAAAAGCTGTCTAGTTTTCCGCTGTGAAGGGGAATCACTCAGATATAGTCATTTCATCAGGTGACTTGAATGGCCAAGTATGGAAGCTGTGTCAGTCAGAAAAGTGTATATGTGGCACGTATGGAGACTGATGTGGAGGAAACGACCTGATTGTGTGACTCAATAGGTGTTTGAGGATGTTGGTAATGAACTATTGACTAGGTTAACTAAGCCTACTAGGTGATGTTTAGGAGTCCGAGATAATCTCACTGGACTGTTGCAAATAATTGATTGTGTCTGTTTATAAGAAGGGAGACAAATGTCCCTGTGATAATCATAGGGAGATTGACTCGACTAAGATAGTATGTGAAATTCTAGGTTGAGTAATCCTGCACAGACTGAGCGGTGCTCAGGAGAAACAGACCCGGAAAACCTAGGCAGGTTTTAGGCCCGGTAAAGATTTCGTTGATTATATGCACACGTTTTGACAGATTCTGAAACATAGGCATGCTAACTGGCGTCCAACACTGGCCATATTTCTTGATCTGAAGGCGGAATTCGACTCCGTTGACGTGGAGGTGCTGCGTCAATGTCTGGCCGTGAAGGCAGTTCCGAGAAAGTACATTGAACTAATCACGACACCCACTACTCGAATACACTGAGCTGTCTATGTAAGGGCTTATGCAGAGTTGTCATCTGGTGTTATGAAAGTCAGTGGTGTCTGTTGTCTCTGTTCTTGTTAAATTCCATCATAGGTGTACTGATGGATGTGGCCATAGTCGACTTTAGTGACTTTGGTGATTGACTTGTTACAGAGGACAGTCTTGTCGACTCACAGTGTGCAAGTGTGTCTACACCATGTTTGTAGTGTGATGATGAAGTGGAGCTGCTGACGAGTTTTTGATGTAATAGCAGTAAGTTGTTCCCCGTCAGACGACCTGCTATGCTACGTCTCTGATTTGGAAGGAGCAGCTTAGTAAAGGTCGACTGCAAAAACTATACGTCCTGACTTATCTTGAGATAGTCCATAGCCGTCAGTAGGATGTTTATGCGGAGAGGACTCTGAAAATCAATTCAAACAGGCCGTGTTTGACCGGCGTCAAGTAGTCATCCCCTGAGGTCTTCGGTCGTGCAGCACTGATACTCTTTCTGTTTCAATTGTTTTAAGAAGAAATCAACTTGTACAGTGTAGGCAGCCAGAGAGTAATAACCATAGGCACACAAAGCTGTACTAATCACCACACACCTTCATCTTCCTGCTCTCCTGTCACTGTTAATACTGTTTCACAGGTAAGTTCTCCACTTTCTCCCAACACTGTGACCATTGATAACGACCTGAGGTAGCTAAACACCACTGATAGTCTCTTATAGCTACACTGCCAACTTCATACTGAAGCTTTCGGCTTCGGGATCTTATGACCGATCGGAAGCCAGACTTCACTAGCCAGAACCTAGATTGTCGGAGTATGAATGTATGTTGTGTTTCGGAGACACGCATACAAGACTGAAGTGTGGTTATTCGCTAAACGCCATCTTTCCAACATGTCAAATCTACAAAATTCATCCCAATTGTGTCAGAAGATGATTCGGCTAGTTTACATCGACTTGATGGTGAAGCATTGACCGATAGGACAGAAGAATTCGTCACTTGATTGTATTCCAGCGGACGGTTGTGTGTGTGCTGCCCGACTGAACTAATCCGTCTGGAGAATGAAGGTTTGTTTTTGATTATCTGTTATCTTTCGTTTACACCGTTTTTATTCTTAATTTTCTTTTGTTTTTACCTTTTTTTTCTTGTTTTGATAGGTATTTTCGCCACTTTTTTGTTGTATAGTTTTTAGTTTTTCCGTTTTTCTGTTCGTTTGTTTTTTTATAATTTTCTGACTCCTTTTTTTTAGGCACCTTTTTTTTTCTGTGTTTTCTGCCATTTTTTTTTGGGTGTTTTTGAACTTGTTTCACTTCTGTGTTTTCTTTTTATGAAGTTAATCTTGACATGAATTTTCCCTGGACCTAACTCCTAGGAGGATACAGTGTATTATCACGGTTTCAAATGAATCTGGTAAAACGGTTTTGTACTGCCATAGATTAGGAATCTACTCTATCTCGTGGAGCGATGTGAGGTCTTATAAATGGTTCTCATCTGAATGGATGATGATCACTTGTCCACTAGTGATTCCCAGTATCATAATCCTCTTTTATTTTCACTATAGATGCACTAACAGATGTGACGCTTGTCGACTGCGATGTTTCATGTACTGGCCTATTAGGGTGTCCTTTCAGGCGAGGACTCACGAAATGCAGAGACTTCCGGATACAACATGATTCTTAGTATGTTTGGCGTGGGATTCGTCTTCATCAAATACTAGATGGCGCTATAAGACTCGCTAGCCCAGACTAATAATTTAGGCGCGGTGAGTCAAAGAGATTAATGTGTTGACCAGTTCCCCCAAGATTATATGTATATAGGCTTGCATAAAGTTTCTGACGTTTTATATTTTGGTACTACCACCATTTAATTGAGAAAAGGACTAGATGAGTAAGAAAGTCAAACTGAAGTTGTCACCGAGAGCTTTTCACCTTTTAAGTAGATGGGATTCACTTAACCTCAGAAAAAATCCATTAATTTGAATGCCATAGAATCATCGTTCACAGTCACACAACATTGGTTTGAGTTTTTCATCTTGGTGCAAAGTTAACACGCCTTTCTATTCTTCATTCTGTATCCAGCTTACAACCGAACAACGTCTAACAAAGTAGAAGAGACCATTCTGTCTATTAGAGTTCGTGCTTACTATGCGATTACTTAGTAATTTACATACAATTCCCCTTGCAGATGTTACGTCCTGTCACTGTGATTTAATAAATGACTGTATTTGTTGTTTCATCCTAATTCGGGACTCTCCGCATGACTGCGTGACCACAGCTCTACCAGGTATCAAATCCATGATACTTACGCTGTGAGGTCGGATATCCAGTAATCCGTGGTTCTCTGAGTGACGTTAGCTTGTGATGAAATCTCACTTGGAACTGACCGAAGTCCTACAAACCAACATTTGAAAAACTATTTAAATTCGCCTTCGTCTAGAGAATCTTTGCATGACTGTAGTTGTATGTTCCTTCATAATTCACTTTCAATCCATTATGAATAACTTTCATATTGTGTTTCTGAAAGGACTATTTTACATCTTCACCTCCGTTTCTAAATGCACACAGTTTCAATTATATCTTCTTACTAATTACAAACAGTATTTTTCTTTCCTGTATCGTTTTTATTTTTGATGCATTTTGTAGAGGCTAATCATGGAGTGTACCAGCAAGCCATCCGAGACCAAGCCGTATCCAACAGATGAAAGGGGTTACACCGTTTTCATTGACGACTTAAACATGCTTATGCAGAACAGTTGTGATGAACCATGTGTCCATGAATTTTTAAGACAACTGGTTGAAATGGAAGGATTTTATAACTGGAAAAAACTGAATGAATTTGTATCTACGACAAATTTCAAGGTAATAAGGTTAAACCTACACATGTATATACATATATATATCTATATATAGATGTATAAATTGTTGAGTCATTTTACATGTATTCAGTCGAATAACGCAAATTTGTCATCACGTACTGGGAAATAAACTAGCTCGTGTGCTTAATTGTTTAGTTAACAGTAATTTCTTGAATAGCATTCTAAACATCATACAATTAAGGCAGAATAGCTAAGTCAGTAAATCATATCAATTCGGCTACCAAAGCATTGCATGTATTAGGTAAGTGTTGCATTTCCAGGTGAACAGCGCTATGCAAGAACTTGGACACCTTTGTTAAGCATCCTAAGAGGACTGTGAATCCTGTAATATTATATCATTTTCATATTGTCTGTCAGCCGAAACCTCTAGATAGTCGATTAAGTAAAGACTGTGACCTGCGAGACTATCTTATTCTTTCGTTGATTCATACAGGAAGCATATACTTTTAAGTACTTCACCTAGACTTATCCTTCTTGTCTCATGACTGTATGGATTAACACACAACCACTCTAATCCATCTTGCTGATATCCAGCGTTTTCACTGCTAAGAGCTTAGAATACAGCTTAATGACTGCACAGAAACTAGATGACAGCAACACTTAGTGGTGTCACTTGTGAGATGAAATTGATTTTCCTGTACGTGAGCCTGAGTTTCGGTCTATTTTATCAGACTATGATTGGATTATATGCTTCAGGAGATGACAGTCGTCATGAGTATCTTCCTGAGAACCATTGAAAATTAGTAAAAGCTCAGCTACTGAACACAGCACTACCTAATTATGTGGTCACATGACTGTTGACGAATTTTTCCTGCGCTTTGATATCTTTGGGCTGTTGTAATCAAATGAATGACCAATGCTTTCTCAAGGTGTACCATAAGGAAAAGCCAAGGAAAATGCTTCTATTGCCAAACATTCCGACAAATTGATTTGTAACACAATTCACACCACAGAAGTATACTTAACTGGCTTTACTTGACAACACAGAACTAATGACAATTACTGGTCGAAATTCCAAATCACTTAGTCTAGTACAAATAAGGCTAGATCAAACGTCTGGTGTTCGTACCATGATGAACATTCACAGCCAATCAAACTCAAAGGACAGAGTTGTAGTGAGTACCTTTCATCGATACGTGATAACTTTCGAACAATAATAATAATAATAACCTGCCATTAATGCATGTGAAGTGAATGAGTCAGACATGGATGTTATCATAACACCGAAATTGTCTCTCAGTCAATAGAATAAAATAAAACACAACAGGTTCAGTAAACACTTTTCTCGTTCACTCACACTAGAAAGCTATTTGAAAACATTACAATTACTGATCAATTTATGGTCGCTGTTTATCTTCAATTACCGTAGAACGCCGCATCAGATTCGGAGGCGTAGAGAGCATCTTCGTTAGTGATGGGTTTATCATTCGAGCTTCTGGACAGAACAGATTCTCTTGTCAGGTGTTTCAGAGCACGCATATTCATATAGGCAGCTAGATCAGATAAGAACTCTAAGCGTACTCTAAATATATCACCCTTTTGTCGGTAATTTTCAGTGACGTAAATATCTTCTGTAGACTGTCCTTTCAACACGTCTTTCTTGATTCTCGGTCTCTTGTATATTGAACTCATAGGTAATGCAGATTTAATTTTAATCTTTGTTCCATCTTTCGTTATTGTTAAACATTTGCAGGTGAGAATACTTTTGAGGCACGAGCTACAAGAATATGTCGGGCCATCTACTTCAGATATGTCACTTACTTCCAGGCTACTATCGTGCTTCCCATCGGTTTCAGATTTTGTAGGTTTGGCTTGACAAAACATTAAAGAAATTAGTCTTTTCACTGATCTCTGGAAATTTGTATCTATGGTGATCAGGCAGATGGTACATACGACGATTAATAATATGCACATGCAATAAACTAACAATATACTGAATGAAGCCATTCGAGGACTAGTGAAATGGAGAGATAGATCAATTTTATTCTTGTCATTTATAGCCGCCATCTTTACTGTGCTATATTGCGTTGTACTCGAATTGTGCAACGTGGAAATTTCTCATTCACAAGACAACACCATGATAGTCACAAACACAGAGCTAGCAATTTTCCGAGAACTCGACATCTTTGATGCTCACCGATGTTTATTTAGTAGAATTTGTAGTCTCATTACATTATGTCAAACACAATATTTATATAGTTGATAGATTTCAATTCGAAGGGGCACGATCGATAAGAAATCTGAGTACGCTGTATTAATTATAACTGATAAAATATTGGGCATACACAATGTCAAACTGCTCACATTGTTTGATGTAATATTTAGAAGACGAAAGAACTGGGCGAGGAAATATCCACTTTTCAAGTAGATCCCTATCTCTAGCTCAATTCATATATATGTATATACATAAACACATACAGCATTTTTGATATAATACAATAGATTTTATCAATCTGTTAGCTATAAGATTCTTACCAAAAATTAAAATTCAACATGTCAAGGGGATTGATAAGTAACCAAGAAATTTAATACAAACAATTAAAGGATATAAGTCATTACAATGATTGGATTGTACAATATATAATTTTGGAAAAAATAAAGAGTAATTAACGAATAAGTGAATGTTCAAGTCGATTATGTAAAAATCAAGTGAGGATGAAATAGCCAGGAAAATGAAATAATTTGCGCTAGGATAACTTGTAGAATATTCAGGGGGAGAGCTAAGTTGCCAGGTTTTTACATTGATGTGACGTTTGCCAAGGTGAGGAAGGTAGTAGCAAATTTTTATTGAACACACAGGTTCGGCTTCTCCAGGTGGATATCTGTAGCTTTAGCTGTATGTATGGTGTAGTCAGAATGCGAAAAATGACTTTAAATGCTATATCAATGTCAACTTTATGCTCACTGTCTACAAGGTGAGCTAAAACAGAGCTACAAAAAGGTGTTGTTTGTCCGTTGCTTAAAAATGCGGAATGATGTTCAGAAGTACGATGATGAATCTGCCTAATTGTATGCAAAATGTAGTTAGCTCCATAGGAGCAGTCAATCTGCTAAGTGCATTTAAAGTAGACAAAGTCGGGTAGTTTATCCTTATTCATCACACAAAAAATCGTGATGGTTGTGGAGAGACAGTGTACTTTTGATGCATTGAATGCCCTGTCAACTGAATTCTTCAGGCACCGTGTTACTATTTCGTTGATTTTTTCACCGAGAAACTGTGGTTTTATGAACAAGGGCCCTTTTTGGAGCTGTTGCCATAGTGATTTACCTTGATGCTTAATTTCTATTTTTCTCAATGAGATTATATCGATAACCATTTAAATTGGGTAATTCTCTGATCATTTTATGCTCTTCATTCAGACAGCCGTTTGAGCAGATAATCCTGGCTCTGTGAACCAAACACTTAACCAAATAGCGTTTATATTTCAAAGGTGCAAAACTCAAAAGATGGGTGTACTGAAATGTCGTTGAAGGTTTCCTACATAAAATGTATTATCATCTTTCCTGGTCAGAAAGAGATTTACTCATACTGGTAAATTTAACGATAGCTGAATTGGGTCAGTTTGGTAATTGACATGGCAATAGGGAAAAATCCCGTCCGTTTACAGTATTTAGATGATATTATTGTTCTAGGTAAAAACTCTAACAGTATACAGAGTATTCTAAACATTTTGCTCAAATCTTCGAATGTTTGGCATGCAATTCACTCCTGTTAAACGTAGGACGATGTTGCAGAACTGGTCTGTGCTGACTCCTAAATTAGGATAGGAAGTGATTTGGTAATTCGCTTTAGACCTAATGGATTGATTGCTTGTGAAATCTCACTGTAGATACAATAGGCTTGTGAAGTGTAGATGTGATATTCAGCTATCGATCAAACAACGCGTGTATTGTGCAGCTGTCCTTCTTTGTGACTGTGAGATATAGGCGTTGAAAGTAGACGACTTGAAGACGCCAGCTATATTTGACTACATGTGTTTGTATTCCCTCTCTCTTTTTAAGTGGTATCATATGGTGAGCAGTATTGAGACTAGACGTAGAGTATTAGATAGAGAAGGCAAATCAGTTGACAAGAGTGTAAAGCTGAATTAACTGAGATGGTTAGGATACGTGTTATACACGCCAAGCCATTGCCTTCTTCGTTGAATAACGTTATCTGACAGCTGTTGGTGGTCAAACCAAAATACGGTACCAATCGTCAGACTTTATAAATCAGTATGTTGTAGAAGGGCGACGGAAGTTTCCTTTGTTTACGTCACTCTTCAAACGTATGAAGCGTCCTTTTTAGATTTATAGAATCTAGATGTTTCTAATGAGACGACTATATTTAAACAGGTGATGGAATTTTAGTGGGGTTACTCAATTCTACCACGATGTACTTTGTGATGAAACTCCATTTGATTTTAGGCAGATTAAAGTCCCCACTTCTAATCTTTTATTGGTAATGAAGTGCAGATTCATATTCCGGAGCAACGATTGGCTTCGTCTCGTAGTTGCTAAAGTTGTTGAATACTATTTAGACACTCATGGTGGGGGCTGTATCACTTTTTTCAGTGTGCACTACCCCACATAATATCGTATACTTTGTCGATGTTCGCATTTCCTAATTGGAATAAGGTGAGTGTGCTCATGATGTATATAAGCTGACCCCTTTCCTTTCTGTTGTGTCTATTGCATCGGAAGTATGTGTACAAATCAGTATTTGTCCCTTTGCATTGCACACGAGGGTGACATCAAGTCTCAGTGATAGTAATTAAAATATTAAATATTCCCATAGTAAAATTCAGGACAACACATTTAAGCGAACAATATTGTTTTCAGTTAGATCTTATCAGGCTTAACTCTAATATACATAACTTTACAAAAGAAATTCAAATATAAACCAATCACACATAGTGTTTTGTCCATAGGATACTACTATTATGACTAATTGCACAATTTATATTCACCATCTTATTATCCTATGGACAAAACACTATGATTGGTTTATATTTGAATTTCTACTTGTAAAGTTATGTATATTAGAGTTAAGCCTGATGAGATCTAATTGAAAGTAATAATTAAAGGCGTAGATATAATCAGTGTGACTGTTGTTAGTGCCGGTATTTTGTTACTGATAGACCTGACACCCATAAGAATGATGTGAAGTGTTTTAATTCATAAGTCAGATTCAAGGGTGGTTGGATATCCTATGTTTGAGGATCAGTAAATGACTGTGTTCTACAAAAGTTGTCTATACTTTGTGTATCAATAATTATCGGATTATCGGATGATCTTGCTGCAAGTAGAAACAAGTTCGGTGGTGTAATGAAACGCTGGGTTACCTATAGGATGGAGTAGCTAAGTCATTAGTCAAATATGCTAACACACTTTACACATAATAAATACGTGAGAGTTGACTTAAAAGTAGTAGTTTTAATACTGTCCGCATTTTGTTTACCAGAGAGGAGTTTATGTAGGTTCGGAGAAAAAGCAGCTGCATGTGCGGTTGATTCTTTGGGTAAAGACTTCTGCTGCAATTTTACACCGTCAGAACTATTTAGATAATTATTGTTTGACAAATGTATGCGTGCATTGCTGTATTCCCCCGATTGCTTCAAAGAAAACATAACTCTCCGTTCAGGGTGATGAATGTGTTCAGTCCCATCAGCTAATTGGCTTACTTAGTGGAAAATAGGTATGTTTCGGATAGAAAAATTACCCATGTTTGACAATGCCCATTGATTCTCATTGCGATTAGTATTTAGTTACTTTGATCTGATAAAAGCCACGCTAGGTATATCCTTGCTCTATGGGGGTATTTCCTAACAGGCTAATATCCTTCTGTCTTCCAAAGTTTGTTCATACCCTAACTCTTGAAGTTTCTGTGTATTAAGAGGCTAAAAACTCACAATTTTCAACAGCATCTGTTAAAATCATATTGTCATATTGATTGTCGATGGCGTTATAAATATGGTTCAGCTAACTAAACGAATTTCTGTTGATGTTATTTGCTCTGAAAGGTCTAGTAAACTCATTTTTGATTTTCGAGAAGCAGCTGTTACTTAATCTCAGTGTGACCCTCCCGTGTACATTCTTCTGCAGTCTACTTTGTAAAGGTAGTGATAACCAGTGAACTTGGTCGTAGTCTGGTATCAGACATGATTTTGAATGTAGTCTATGCAGTATGACTTACACCTGCAGACAATACAACAGTTACGGACTGACAAAGTTCAAACTATTTGCTGACCATTAGTCTTCTTAAATGGCGGAGGTATTATGTACAGCTACAGTTTAACTCAATAGTTGATCAATCTGTATGCAAATTGTATAAACATTGACTATCTATCTGTCAGTCAGACAAACTACTGATCAGATCCCACCTCCTCGCTCTGATGGAATATATGGCTTAACATGATTATATCAGTCTTTTCATTTATTGGACGATGACTGGAAAGTATACTACTAATCACGAAACATTTATTATTGTTGTGTGAATAATCAACTAACAAAGCAAATGACTGTAAGGCTTGTTTCAAAAAGGATATAAATGTAGTGTTGTAGAGTCAAGGGGAGCCAGATAAAATATAACACTAGTTCATGAAAGGCCTAAATTGGTGGGTTTAACCACGTAGGAAAATGAAAACTGCCTGATTGGAGTTGTGGAGATTCTGAGAGTTAACAGTTTGAGACTGGTGGTTAAGCGTCTCAATATCCTTCACAATTCCATGTATGTAAGCACCGTCATCATGTAGATTGCAAAATCCTGTATTAGCTTTCACTGTATTATTGTTCATTGCAGATCCTGGTTCTGCGTGTTTCTTCAACTTGAACTGTTACACTTTCCCACAGCAGTATCAAACTGAAGACTGACAGTTATGCATGTTAAACAGTAATTTCTGAAAAACCCTAATGAAACAAAGTATTGTGGACTATAATTAACTATAAAATTATTACAGGAGATGGAAAGGAACTTAATTCATTAAATTTTCAATTGTATTCTACCTTAAATACTCACAACTATAACG